GGGACCACAAGCAAGCCCCCGCTTCAGGAGAGCCAATCATCTAATGGGGTGACAGGGCACTTAATCAAATTTTGGTTCCTGACTGTGCAGATATTTTTAGATAAGAAGAATGATTTTAAGTTCTTAACTTGATTTTAAAACGAGTAATGGCAGAAAATGTAATCGGGAGAGTTGTTTTCTTTTTTCCTCGTTCTTGTGAGTACACACTGAGTCATTTTGTCCAGCTGGAGAGTCTTTAGAGACTTGTTAAAGCAGCTGGATTAAATCTCTATCAAAGTGCCAGAAACGTGATTTTGTTGTCACAAAAAAAGGAACATTAGGCTTAATTGACTCCCTCACCACACCACAGGAAACCATGCAGAGAAATTATAGCAGCTAGTTAAGGTTCTTTTGGTTTTCTCTTCTGTTTTGATGCTGTGTCATTTTCCTTCTGGTGGCTGGAAGTATGGATAGATGAAGACGAGATGTGTTCAGTTTTCTTGAATGCCAAGAGATAGAGCTGGCACCTGAGCAGAGAAATCTATTCCATTGAGACAAAAGGAAGTATAAATATCACTCCAGCTCAACAACTCAAGATGCCAGCGAGTCCTCTCATTATCTCTGCTCTTGATAGCGGCAAAGAGAGAAGACTAATGGACTAACCTCTGCTGCTAATCGCTTTTTTATAGGCTCCTATAGAAGAAGATCTTCCTTTAGGGGAGATTAAAGTTTCTATTTTTACTGTGCCACTGCTTCTCCTACCCTGCAATGAGAACGTGTTTCACAATTTCTTTTTTATACCTTCAATTTCCTTGACTAGCTGGTTTTGTTAAATTGTGTTCCAAGTTGTCTCTTTCATTTTGAGCATATCACATTTACTTGAGCATTAAGATTTCACGGTTTACATTAATCATCCAGGGAATAACACATTAATCCCAGGCATGAAATCACAATCTCCCATTTCCTTTTTTTCCTGTCCCACAACAGTGGATTTAGCACCGTAAACGGATTTTTGGTTTATGTTCTTTATCTTTTGCAATACAATTGCTGTAAATATGAATTTAGGAGATCAGGCATATTTGGCTGCATTGTTAAGAAGCTTAGTATGTTGGGATGAAAAAGGGGGGGGGGATCCAAAGGCACAAAGGCAGAAGACCTGATGCCTATTCCAGGGTGATAAAGGTTTAGAGAAGCGCCTTCTCCAGAGGCCTCCTTCCTCCAGTCTGTTCTATCCTGATTCAGTTTTCTGGCTGCTGAACCGCCCCTCTGGCAATTGTGTCCCCATCCGTCAGTGATGCTTTGCATTGCTTATCATTTCACATTTCCTCATATCTGGCCCCTGCCTATTTATTCTGCTGCTTTTTGAGCATCTTTCCATGAGATAATCGGCCATAATGCATGCAGTTCCCTTTGACCACAGTTGGCACAGTTGCTTCCTTCTTGCACGGCGGCTGGGGAAATAAACCAGCATTTCATCTTTGGGAGCCACAAACGGGGGCACAGTGGCAGAGCACAGGCGGCCAATGGGACAAGTTTGTTTAACAAGGCCTCAGTAGCAGCCTCGCTAAGTGTGCCAACATAATGTTTTCTGCTCCTGACTATTCATTATGAAAGTTTTGCACACACACAAAAAAAAAAAAGGATTTTGCCCGAGCCAGCATCACAGCTTGCGTGTGTGCTGTGAGCGTGGAGTGCTTCTCCGTCTCTCTCGACTTGATGCTCTTCCTTCTCGTTGCCTCCCCATGTCTGCCAAAAAGATTGTTAGATGAGTGTCAAAATAGAAATCTACTGACAATGACTATGATACTTTGAGTTGTTTTTTTGGAATTCCATATTCTCATGTGATGTAACACAGTGGAAGTGTTGACAGTTTGTCATCATGCCAGTCCATCTGTCTTCTTCAGTACAACGACCACAATTGTGATGCGTCAACAAACTGAACAGAACCAGGACTTGTTGTGTTTGGTGTTGTCGGAGAGAGAGAGACAACTGTTCATACACACTGTGTGGAAAAAAAATGCTGATATTGCAAAAAAGCCAGTTGTTGTCGGAGCAGCAGCTCTGATGGTGAAAACGATTATTTCATAACTAAAGCAGCATTTCCAAATCTGCTGACTTAAGCGACCTTACTGCAATTATGTTCACTTAAGAGAGCCATCCCTCTTAATTCTGGGTCAGGAGGGAACTATGTTTAAGTATGAATCATTCCTGGTTGCATTTATATGCTAATGACCATTGTCGGTAATTCAGACTCCTCATAAACAAAAGAAAGACGTGGCTTTGAACTAAACGGCACACGGGGCTGATCTGGTGGTGTTCTTATTCTTCTCAAGGCTTCTCCTCAGCTGCACAGCATAAAGAAGTCTCTGTCAAGTGCAACAAAGAGGTGGTCGCGTAATCAACTTAAACAAAACATTCTTTACATCTGTTACCGAAAACGATGTGAATGGATAACCTCTGTGGTGCCTTTTAATTTACACCATGCAGTCACTCTCTTTCTGCCTCTGCAGCTGTTGCCACAACATGACGGGGTGAGGCATACATTTCTCCCAGTGACGGGGAAAGAAGTATAAAAGGTGAAGAAGAAAAAAGATGGGCGGGAGTCAACGTTGTATACACATATACGATTAAGGGGCGGGGGTGTAGCAGAAGCTCCAAAAGGGCAAAAGGCTGCGGGGCTCGAGTGAAAAGCTGGCTCAGCAGGAGGTTGATTATACCCACCAAAGGGGATCCACTTTGCACATCTAGCATGTACAAACTCACACACAAAGGAGCGCCGCAGCTCACAGGCAAGCTGAAAGTGAGGGTGTGTGTTGGGGGGGGGGGGTCTGAACCCTCGCTGCTTTTTTAGAGGCTCTGGCACTTTTATGACCGTGCTAATAAAGTGCTTCTGGGACGGAGCACCTCCCACACCTCTGCCTGCGCACACGCCAGGAACAGCTTGACTGGGCCTTAGGAGCTGTGTTTATGGACACATGGATCAATACACTCCCTAAGGGTCTATATTTAAGTCTGAGCTGAGTAGCGTACCCGTTGATCACAGGGGGGGGGGGCATTTCCAGATTTGGAACGAGGTCTATGAAAGGGCAGACACGGTTCAGGGGTAATCCCAAATCCTAACTTGCCTTGAGCAACTTGTGCAATATCTCTACATACAACGCAACCACCCGGTCATCAGTTGCAAGAGCTCGTTAATCCCAGCCACATCTTTCACCCTTGATTCTCTGCGCCCTCACTGCTAGAAATGCAAATCTGGAGCGTGACAAACGATGCAGGGATGTCTCTGACACGTTTCGAGCCCCCCTGGCGTCCCCATGTCTTTCCCCAGCTTACCTCCTCCAGCTCCACAGTAATTACCCTTGTTTGGATCGCTACGCCTAATCATACTTGATTTTGGGATGCACTGCCATTGTCTACACTTGTTAGCCCCTCACACTGCTCGGTTCTGATTGAGTACACCGATAATGCTGAGGGAACGAGGCACACACACAGAGATAGTGTATATTTTGTTTTTTTTTATGAGGGAGCTGTGTACAGATCTAATACGGTGGTTGATTTATTTAAGGATGATTGTTGTGCCGCCCGTGATTAATCCCTCTACGATCTGATCATATCAGCGGGAGATGAATAGGATAAAAGGGTAGAAAAACAACAGCGACGTTTCGAAAAAAAGAATTAATAGATTCAGTTTGTGTAAAGCTGGGCCCCCTTGAAGAGCAGAGAGCAAGGGGAGGGGTGTGTAGTAGTAGTGGCTCCCAATTTGTTCTCACTTTGTTCCAGTAATAAGATCCAGGCCTTCCTTTCCAATGGACGAGATAATTAACTCCTGGGGACAGACTGCACTGAGCTTCGTCTCATGGTTTATGGCACACATACAGAGATCTCCACAGTCCAGGCTGAGCATGGTTGCATAAATTGCGGAACTTGCTTGATGTATGTTTTGAGAGATAGATATGGAAAAGGGTGTTGGTTGATTGGCTGTGTAGTCAGAGTGGAAAATGTGGGGGATGGGTGAGCAGGCTGATCTTTTAAAGGAAAAGAGCACAGGAATTTCAACTAAGTGCCATTGTACTGTATCTCATTAGCTGGTCAACGTTTCCGATACATCCATACCTGTCTTTACCACAGGTTTTCAAACAATTCAATCACTGGTATTTCAATGAAATTATAAATGAATGAATGAAATAATGCTGAAATTGCCTGAGCTAAAAAAAAAAACTGTAGATGCAGTGACAGTGTGCACGAGTTGGCTTGCAATTTTTGATTATAAAATAACTTCAAGGGTCCCCAATATTTGATGCCTTGGAATTCTGTTGTCATGACAACCATAGTATCTCATTTCACTTTGTGATGGTATTTTATGGTAAATCATTTTATTCTAAATAATATGTTAAGTAAGCTTAAATTCATCATAGTTTTGTTTAACAGGCAAAAAAAAAATTGTTAAATGCGTTAAAACACAATTTCCATTGACTCTGGTGAATCATTGTCCAGTGTCTAAAGCATTCTGAGTCGGTGAGCCACGTCTGTGTTATTCTCTTCTTAGAAACCCCTTGCTCAGTGTGCGACAGCCGGAGCGCTAGTATGAGTCAGGTCAGGCTAATTTCCGTTGCCTGGTTTCAACCTGCCTCTCTTTCCTGCTTTGTCCCGCTGTGTCCAGCACCACCTTTGGAATGTGCACCATAACGGTTTCCGCTCATTGTCTCTTTAAACCTCCACTACTCTTCACCACAGCTCACCGCCTTACTGAGGTTGAACTCTGGTACTGACCTTTTCAAGCAGTGGAATCTCTAATGAAGAGTCTTTCCATTTGGTCAAATGTGTTTCCTTTTGTCGGATATGTGAGTCATGCTGTGATATCTAACACCTTTTTTTTCTCTCTCTCTCTTTCTTTTCCAGAAAAATGTGAAGACCCCTGTGAAGTTTTTGACCCGCAAGTTTAGCCTTCAACAAGTAAAAAGGAGAAGGTGTCCTCCCATCTTCCCCTCATCGATTCTTTCTGCTTGCTCTGCAGTTTTCTAGCAGGCCCGTTAAACATGGAGGGCCGGCGGGCTACACGCAGGACTTTATCACCTGAACCTAAAGTAGGAGCTACAGCTACTCTGCTGGCTCTCTGGCTCTTAGTGGTCCCTGCGTTGTGCAGTGGGCAGACATTTACTAACTTCCACCCTGAACGTCGGGATTGGGTGTTCAACCACCTGACGGTTCACCAAACCACGGGGGCATTGTATATTGGAGCAGTCAACCGTGTGTACAAGCTATCAGGCAATTTGACCCTCCTTGTTTCCCACGACACAGGCCCAGAGGACGACAACAAGGCGTGCTACCCCCCTCTGATAGTCCAGCCCTGTTCTGAGCCCCTCGTGTCTACCAACAATGTCAACAAGCTTCTGCTCATCGATTACTCCCAAAATCGGTTACTGGCCTGTGGCAGCCTCTACCAGGGAGTGTGCAAACTCCTCAGATTGGACGACCTCTTCATCTTAGTGGAGCCCTCCCACAAGAAAGAGCACTACCTCTCCAGCGTCAACCAGACTGGGACCATGTATGGAGTCATTGTGCCTTCACAAGGCCAGGATGGCACCTTGTTTATCGGCACAGCAGTGGATGGAAAACAGGACTACTTTCCTACCATCTCCAGTCGAAAGCTACCACGCGACCCGGAATCTTCTGCTATGCTTGACTATGAGTTGCACACCGACTTTGTGTCCTCGCTCATCAAGATACCATCAGACACACTGGCTCTTGTCTCCCACTTTGACATCTTCTATGTATACGGCTTTGCCAGTGGTAGCTTTGTTTACTTCCTGACCGTGCAGCCAGAGACACCAGAGAACAGCATGTCATCCAGCGGCTCCACCAGCGACCTCTTTTATACCTCTCGCATTGTCCGCCTCTGCAAAGACGATCGCAAGTTTCACTCCTACGTCTCCCTCCCCATCGGCTGTGTGAAGAACGGAGTTGAGTACCGTCTCCTGCAGGCCGCCTACCTCGGCAAGCCGGGGCGCGTTCTCGCTGCCTCGCTCAACATCAGCGCCCAGGATGATGTGCTCTTCACCATCTTCTCCAAGGGCCAGAAGCAGTTCCACCGCCCACCGGATGACTCAGCGCTGTGCGTCTTCACCATCCGAGACATTAATGCAAGAATCAAGGAGCGCCTGCAGTCCTGCTACCAGGGAGAGGGAAACCTGGAGCTCAACTGGCTGCTTGGGAAGGACGTGCAGTGCACCAAAGCGGTGAGTTAAAGTGACAGACGCAGACACACAAACATGAAGATGTACCGCAGAATGGGGTATATGGTCTCGTTTGGAAATTTAAATTAGCATTTTCCTTTTGTCCAGTTTTCCAAATGGGTAGAAACTAAAAGCAGGATCTACTGTTTTGTGTGAAGCATTTACATTCTCTCTGAGGTATAGGCAGCCCTAAACTAACAAAGAGATCCAACAATCATGTATACACTTATTTTAATGGTCTGAATTCTGCAATGATCCAACAATATCAACATCTTGTTTCGTTCCTTTATTCAAGGTACTAAACAGTAATGGAACGACCAAAGCCTCTTAATGAGTTTGGAAACTGAAGCCATTAAAGTTTGGAGGGCGGACACTGTAAAGTTAAATAAACAACAGCAGCCATAAGGAAATGCTTTTGATTGCCTTGCATAGCGTACCATCTCTTATCAAATGACTCTCACACTACATGTAATTATGTCAAATTTGCTTTGCGGTTTTGATATCAGACAACACCCCCCTTTCAAGTGTATTTCAATGCGAGGCATTCACAAAGTGGGGATGATTTATTTTTCTTGGCAATCATCAAAGTGATAAGATTTTCCTTGAGCACAATACAAACAAACAAACTCGCCCCTTCTAGAAGGAAGAGAAGAAGCAGTCGGGGGGGAGGGCTTCTGATTCATGCGTAGATCACACACAGCAGTCTTTTCCCTCTGAAAATCCCCAATTATCCTATAATACAGGGCCATGTATCTGTTACATGTTGTCAAGAAGAATTAAGTTTCTTGATATTCCCTCGATCCCAGGAGGCTACAGTCCTCTGTGCTTTCATTCTGTAATTGCTAATAGGAATTTAAGAATATTAAGAATTAATGACTTGCTAAGTATGACTAGTCAGTTACTGTGTGTGTGTGTGTCTGCACGTATGAAGGAAAGGCATGTGAATGCAGAGTGCTGTGGTGTTGGTCTTAATGTATTTTTAGTGGTTTAATGATATCCCTACCCTCATGATGATGAGAGCCACTGATCAGCTTCCTTTGTTGCTAATCCCCCCAGGTCTCTAAATTGACCACGCTTATTAAAATCAGTAAATTCCTCATTAGCACAATGTCAGAGGTGATTGTCAAGAGTAGGGAGACATTATCCCGTACTAACGCTGTTGGGTTTTATTAGCTCTACTGAGAAGGTGGGAGAAGGAATGTAGAAAAATGGTTTTAGGAAAATTGGTGGTAGATTGTAATGACTGTTGTAAGATTGGGTTGTTTCTTGGTCCTTTGGAGCCTTAATCAGAACCTTTTCTATTGTCCTTGAAAAATTCCCAGTGTACTCGCATTGACACTTTAAACTGGCAGACAATTTCCTTTGACATTTCCTTCAGGGTTGGAGGTTCAATTGCTGTTGTGTTACCACTGTGTTGAAGGCTGCTAGTCCTGTAAATGGACTTTGACAAATTCTTGTCATTTCACTTCTTCAACAACTGAAAACACAATGACCACTGAAAATACATATAGAATTCTGACCATCTTTCAATTCAAGATAACATCATACCCGGTTCGGTAAAGTTATCAACAGCTAATATCAACATGCAGCTGTTTACTAGATAACATTACTAGCTGTGAAGTGGCTAGAAGCTAACAGCAACTTTTGGTGGTGTTGAGAGACACACAAAAAAAGGCATACATTATTAGCAAACATAACATTAGGTAGGAATTTCTTCTAAGCTGACAAATGTTTTATTAGCTATCGAATGTTAGCGAGGAAGAATCGAAACGCTAACTAGGAAGCGGGTTATTGCTAGCCTTAGCTAGCTGATGGCTTTTCAAATCTGCTTTTTTTCCGCCCTGCATTTGAGATAAAGCCAGATGTTTTTTTGTCGTTCAGTTAGTCATTTATAAGGAACTGGTGAAATGATAATAATGGTCAGATTATGTAGTTTTACATAATAACAGCAATTTAGCTTCTCTCCTTGAGTGTGATATCAGAGGAAAATGTCCAAAGCTGCTTTTTGCACTCCATGTTTTTGAGCAAGCAGTCCCAAAAGCATTTTGCTCTACTTTTACATGATACACCACGGATATGCTTGCTTTTTAAGTGTATCCACAGACGTAAGAAGATGTAAAACACAGTATTAAGAGCATGTCTTCACACTCATTGAGCAGCCAATAAATCCATAGTGTAATATGGATTATGCAGATAGATGGCATCGGATGAAGAACCCATACAAGCCCATACAAATTACATTAAACAAGTGGATATGTCAAGCATGCTTATGTTGTCTGCTTGCTGTTAAATCCCCTACTCAGGCGCTAAGGCTGCTTAGAAGAGCATGTACGCTTTCCCTTAAATAAAAATGTTCTCAAATCTCTGTGTGCGTCACAATGTCTGAGATCCATCAGAATATGAAGTGAATCAGGTCAGACCAACCAGAGCGATGTGTCTTTGCTGAACCAAACCTCGTTTGGTTTTCCGAGTAAATTACACATGCATTCCCAGTGCTTTTACCGCCATTCTTTTGCTAACAGCAGGTAGCCAGTGAACTCAAAGAAAGGAACCTTAATTATAGCCTCAGTTCCCATTCCCTTCTTGCAGACATTTAACTATACCCTTACATGCAGGCCAAGGCTAAGGCTGGGAACGGATCTGAGGCTGAGCCAGGGGATTCAGACACAGCAGCCAATCAAAGATTTATCACCCAGCCGTCCAGCCTTCTGCCATCTGGAGATTCACACCATCTCTGTAGTCGCTCCTGAGAAGGAGAGAGAGCCGTGACGGGATTCTTTCTGTATCTGGCTGTCTCTCTCTGACTAACACTATCATCCTGTCTCGCTTTTTGCTCATGCCCCAACGACTAATTAACCAGTCGTGAGAGCAAAGGGGAACTGGTATTGATAACACTGATAGACCCTGAGAGGGGACCTCTGAGAGCTAATATCCTGTCACATCCAAATCATCCCTTATTCAAATTCAAACCCAAATGGAAAAATTGAAGCAATTGTTTAACAAGATTATAGGCTGCATTTGAAACAGCTTCTTCACCATAGATTTAACATCATACTGTATTGTGTGGCTGTTCGATAAGGCTTAATCACTCGGGGTTACAGTCTATTTTTGTCCCACCAAAGCTCTGCTAAAGATAACCAATGTAATTTATATCACATGAAACAGACGGAGACATGGCAAATCTTTATTTCTTCACTTCTTGGGAGATTTGTGATAAGGCAGGGCAAAAAAAAAAAAAAAAATCCCGAAACTAATCTGCAACTAGGTGAAGAAGAAAAACTCAAATACATGGAGACCAGGGGGATTTGATTTGGCTGCCAAGTCTGCTTAGTGCACATCATCTAAACAATCTAGATGTAATCAGAACCAAATGCTTTGGGGCCAAACAGACCAGATGTGGAAATAGCTGCCTGCATTTAAGGGAGTAGCTATTGATAAGCCAGTGTCTGGAACTCAAGGCTGTTTCTCAAGGCTCTCCCTTCTGATCCATTGTGTGTGTCCTTGTCTAATGGGCATATGTTTAAAGGCATTAAGCAGTTATATATGGTACATTTGATTCTGTAACCATGAGCGAAAATAATAATGTAAGCTCTTTTCCTAGTTTAGATACAGCAGTGGAGTACCCCTTAGCATTCTGAGCTATTTTGGTCAAAGGAAAGTAAAGGAAATGCCATAAAGTGGGGGGCGTGACTGTTAGAGCCAAAGCGATTATTCCCTGTCAGCATTATTGCTTTTTACTCTGCTCATGAAAATCTGCGTACAGTAGTGCTGAAAGGTTTTACAGCCACGGTGCGTTGTGTGCAGGAAGAAGCTGAAATGCCTTCAGAGTGGGAAATGTCTCTCAACATAGCATCCTGACGGGGATGTAGACCGGAGTGAGACAGAGAGGAGACAGATGAGAAGGAGATGGAGTGACAGAACGAGCATTAATGAGTTAGGGTTAAAGAGAGGGAGTATACATATACGGAGGGAGTTTTTTGAGTAGAAGACTATAGCATATATACTACATGGAAGTAGTTCTAGGATGAAGCCTGCCTGCCCATCTTGCTTTTAATCCACATGGCACTTTGAGGCCACTGCCACTCACGCTGTGTCAGCTGACCTGATTCAACACTCGACCACTATCTTGCATCACACCACATCTTATCTGATTTGAGACAGACTACAGGGTAGAGTAAAGTCTTCACTTCAAAGCAGAACGCAGTACGTCAATATCTTTCTGATCTTTTAGCAAGACCATCACATAATAAAACATCATATCTGATTTAGTGAATAATATAAAATGCCCTTAAAAAGCTAAAGCACAGAGTTAAGGTAACGATCCGTTTTGGTGTCAGTTTAACTTTTTAACAGTTATCTAACAATACCCCGATTCATTCACGCACCACGGGGTCATTAAGTAGGGACACATTTTGTCATATTGGCAGGGAAATCTGTTTGGAGTGGCATTTTCTTCAATGGACTATCATTATTTGGCACCAGCGTTTAGATAATTATACCACACAAGTCAGGGTGAAAATTTGCCGTATGGATATTTTGGACGACATGTCGTATGGATGTTTTTTCCTGCCCCCTATAATGATTTGTTTTCAGAGGAAAACTCTCATCCTTCCACTTTGTTTATGATCATCCTTGAACCTTCACTTCCTCAACTGCCTGTTAGCTGCTTTGTCAGTCACCGACGGCGGTGGCAGGCATAAAATGTAATTTAGTGATCAATCTATTCAATTTTCTTCGCCTGATGGGCTTCTTTGCTTTTTTAGGTCATATAGATGCGTCATGATTATTTCAGTCGATTATATAACCAGATATAAACTCTCAAGTATTTCAAGCAGGATACACAACAAATACTTACGCACTTAATAAGGCTTCATGCAAATGTGTTCTGATGAATGGGTGACTACAGCTCATTGCATCTCTTTACTCACATGAATATTTTAGGGTTGCATGTTTATCAGGCAGTTTTTTTTTTTTTCCACAGCGCGCTCATAGTTATCATGCGGTGTGTGTCTTCCTGCAGAGGTGTGATGATAGGCTGGGGTAATGAGCCACGGTGAGAGCAAGGTGGAGCTCAGTCAGGCAGAGCTGAAAACATGTCTGCCAAGTGGAACAGAAAGGCAAACGTTTGTCTGGCCGAGAGACTCGTCCGCGCACCTCCACCTCGCTCTGACCTCCCTCCCTCCCTCTGTCTCTCTCTCTCTGTCTATCTGTCTCTCTCAGCCTCACCTCTCTCACCCACCCTTCAGACGCTCTCTGACACTGCTGCTATTTCCACAACTTTGACCATCGCTCTCTGCCTCTGTCTCAGTCTGTCACCTTCATCTTTCCTCCTTACTGAGCTGTCTTCTTCTATAACGCTCGGCGCCTCAGCCTCTCCACTTTCCACTCTCTTAATGTCTTATTCCCAAAGTTGGTTCTATTTTTGTCGCTCCCTCCTCGTGCGGTACATTTCATGTCAAGGGTTTCTATGTATAATGTGACACATTTTGTCTCAAAGTCATGATCACCTTTTGATTTGAATTATTTTTCTCTGTTACAGTTTCATTGACATTATTTCCATCTATAACTTCTGTTTTCCTCTCTGTCTGTAGCCGGTGCCAATTGACGACTCTTTCTGCGGTCTGGACATCAACCAGCCACTCGGTGGGTCTCAGCTGGTGACCGGTCACACTCTCTACACCGAGACTCGGGACCGCATGACATCTGTCACCTCCTATGTCTACAATGGCTACTGTGTTGCCTTTGTAGGCACAAAGAGTGGTCGTCTAAAGAAGGTGAGTACCGACTCATATACTCCTCCTACCACTCAGCAGTTAAAGTCCTGTTTCAAGCGATTTCCACACTCTTCATCATCGTGAAGACCCAAGCACTCGGGCTCTCCGTTGGTCCAAGGGGCACAGACATCGTGAAGTGGCCCTATATCCATGCAGATGGATCATGGTCACAGGGAACTTATCTCTTCAATATTTAATGCCTGCTGTCAAAGCGTCTGAGAGGGCTAATGTGCGATGGCCGGCTCACTGTAGTGGTCATTACCAGTTCCTTGTTAAGCGAGCCCCAGTGTCGCAGTGTTGAATAACCTGCACAGGCCCATTAATTTTAATAGGCACCTTTCTGCCTGTGGCCCACTGAGAGGCAAGAGAGATAGCAGGCCACAGTGCTAAAAAACCCCTAGCCTTGGTTGGAGAATGCAGACACCTCAGAGGGGCTATGGGCTGCTGGCCAGTTAATAATGATATATTTTGCACCCCATCCTCAGGGAAAAGGTAGAAGATGAGGTTTTTCACTGACAGGATTGAATAGTGAGGACAGCGGGGTGGTATCCGTTGGGTTTGGATGATGTGAGGAGTGAGATTGTCAATCAAAAGTTATTTTTGTCGCTGATAAATTTAGAACAGCTGTTGCACCGTTTTGGCTCTGAAATCATCCCGAAGAGGGCTGTGATTATATGGCAACAGGTAAAATGTGAATGAAGTGTTTGAATGTAGGTGGCATGTGTTGTTGAGTTGATGGTACTGTGGAAAGTATAAACCAAACAAAAGTTAGATTTAAATTATCACTGAATCGTTTTAGTGCTTTTATTTTGTTTAGCAAATATGTATAAAGTTCTCCGTTTCCAGCTTTCTTAATGTAAGGATTGCTGCATTTTGTCACTTGTGAATGAAAGTTTTAAGTTTTAAACTGTTTGTTTGACCTACATATCAATATGAATATGTCACCTTTGACCCTGGGAAATTGTGATGAGCATTTTTCACAACTTTCTGCCATTTATAGAATCAACTATATTGATTATTCGTCAAATGATTGTCAGATTAGGTGATATCAAAAACGACGGTTTGTTGCAGCCCTAGTGGGTGCATTTTTGTCACAATAGTTTTGTCTTACACACTGACGATGCATTCTAGACTACATTTGGACAGCTGGTTGAAGGATTTGTCAGTATCACTTGGCTCCTCCTTGCATGGGGCTGCCTGTTGGAGTGGCAGCAGGAGTGTGTCACAGAGCCATAACCGGCTCATATAGTCATCCCTCCCCCTACTAACAGCTGCACGAGGCTCAGTGGAAGATATTGAAAAAGGAAAGAGAGTTGCTAAAACCAATCTGATACCTCTTTTGGCAAGCTCTGTGTTATTCCAAGGCTGGCACTTCAACACAAATGGCGTCTGTCTGGGTTATTTTGGTCTCCGCCTATTCATAATTAAATCAATACACCAATCAGGCTGTGGTAGGGAGAATATTCATCCCATGTAATCCCCTGTTTGAGCTGTTTAATATTTTAGCATCTTTCCTTACTTGGTTAAATGAGACGAGACAGAAAAGAGTGTTATTCCTCTCTGTGCTGCTGTTGCTTGCATATTGTCTTCATCTCACTGCTTCCTTCCACACTCTTGTCTGGAGCTGCCGCCTGCCTTCTATCCATGCAAAGTAGCCTCGCATGCTGCTGTGTACTTAGTCTCACTCCTCAGAGGGGCATGACTGTAACCACAGTAACGCTAACGTAGCGGGGAGGAAGGCACCAGGATATGGGCACCTACAGCTCGGGTGCCATGGTCCGACGGCCAGAGCAGGAAAACCTTGTAGAGCGCTCAGACACAGAAACTGATCCTCATCACAGCAAGACTAAAATCTCAGACCACTTGCAGTAAGAGAACATATTAGCAAGCTTCCCTTTAATGACTTTCTTTTTTGATTTATTATTTGGTTATCATCCTTTTTTCTATCAAGAAGCACAGCTCGTTTATTTTATTCTAAAAGTACTCTTAAATATTAATCAGTATGTCTCTAATCTCGAGTATTTTTGAGATTTGAGAGGAGCAATCAGTGTGAAGAGAAATCATTGTTTATTTCTGTGAGCTACAAACATAGAATTCTTGTGCAACAGAGCTTCTAAAACAGGACTTTGTCTGAACCCCATACGTTTGAAATCACATGGTAAAGCAAGGAGCTGCCACCCCTGTGCAGGAAATTTGCATTCAGGTACATTTTTGGACAAGGACCAGTCTTGATTTGCATGCAAGCTCATGATCATGCAAAGCAAGGACTCTCCACTTAATGTGCATGAAAGGAAAAAATGACCACAAATAGCGCAGCATCGTAGCAGTCTCGACAGTGTGGAAAAAAGACAGCATTACTTTTTTAATAGATTATGAATAATCAATAACGCTGCATGGCAGACGCTGTGTGAAGAAGACAGCTTTCACCACAGTCAGTGTTAAGGTGTACGTGTGCTTGAGTTTGTCTGAAATATGCATGTGTTTACCTTGAGAGTGTTATCCTTTTACTCCCTTGGGTGTCACAGGTAGGGCAGGGGGGATAGGGTGACCTGATGAGCCCCGGCTGCAGCTCCCCTGCAGAAGGCTGATAAGCTCCTACAGAATTGTGTCAAAGACATAGATGGGGATGCTGCAGACTTCCTTCAGATCAGAGCATGACATGGCTATAGGCTGACAAGATGCTTGCTGATGATACGCTTCTATACCTTTACGTCTTCCATGCAACCAAGGGAGACAGACAGACGGGTAAAGGGAGGGGTGTTGTGGCTGGGGATTCACGGTTAGAGGTGGGAGTCATGATGAGAAAAAATGGGAAAAAGTAGCAAGAAGAAGTAGAGATAGAAGGTTCTGGGAGAGGGAGGAAGAGACCGTTGAAATGTGAATTTAGTGCCGCCAAAGAAACCAGGGCTGCACCGCTGCCTGTAATTGGATTGGCTCCCTTCCCAAAGAATTCCCCCCTCTCCTGCCCTCCATCTCCCGCTTCCCCATTCAATCCTGATCCACATCCCCTCCCCCTCGCCACCCTCTTGCTCTCCCTGCAGACCAGGCTGCCGTATATGCTGCTGTTTCCTGGGCTTTGGTGGAGCATTGCAAAGCAGGAGGGATACTGTTGGCGGATACTTCTGCCTGTGGCCGGCTTTTGCAGGGGATTGATGGAGGAAGAGGGGTTAAGAGGGTGAAGAGAATGCATGTACACTGGAAACAATAGCACTACAATTTGCGCCTCGCACAGCATATAAACACTCACACGTTGTGATTGTGTGTATAGGGTGTGAAGTGCTAGAATTTCACTGGGTGAATCAAACAAACCAATCTATATTTTTGCAAAGTGTTCTCATTCCCTCTACTAGGAGTGAAAGCTAGTCATACAAGAGGGATGTAGTTAATGTGTTGCATGGGTTGTAGACTTCTGGGTGGCACCCATGGAGGCAGTGATTGATTGTGGACGCCAGCAGATGTTCACCTCAGCAGAAAGCTTCTAGATGGCAATCAATAGTCTTTTTTTTTTCCTGTTACAGTAAACTATTTCCAATCAGGACCATAACCAGACCTTTGGCCCACTCTAAGCTAACATCAGAAGCTGTTTCAGTAAGCTTGTACTATAGTCCTGCCCATACGTTAATGTCCTATTTAAATTCCAGGCCTAGATTTACATTGATACTCTCAAGGCTGTATATTGCACTCACCATGCTCCATCATTCACATTATCACTCCCTTATACCCGGAGACCAATAGACCGCTACAGGGCTCTCCGGGGTCGAATTATAGAGATAGGCAATCTGTTATGCGGTGTATTCAGGATACACATTACCCAAGAATTGCATCGTCTAAATTGGAATGTGCTGTGTGGGGTTCACTTTGTGCTTGAGCATTGACTTAACCCACATGGGGACTGGGGTTGGTGGGAAGTAATGACGGAATTAAGGAAGAAGGGAGTTGCAAGGAGCACCTCCTTTGATACAGATGGAGATGAAGGGCACGACTGCACATGTAAAATTGGAAGTTGAAAGACATTCCAACAGTAGTTGAACGCGAAGGTTAAAGCAAGCTTAGCAGAGGCACATTGAGGATTCCCTTGTTAATCAGAGTCAATTTGCAGACAGTGAGAATGAGCGTCCTCCATCATGGTTCTCTCATACAGAGCAGCATGGGGTTAAGAGCTGTTGAACCAAAGACCAAAGAGATGCATTCCCATGTGGCATCCTCTCCTGTGTTCTACATTCAACCACATTACTGAGGCCTGTATAGGTTTCCTTGGGTAAATCACAGGATGTGTATTTGAGTCATGAAGCCATGTCCGTTATTTAAGTATGGCCCTATTTTGACCTGCGCTCCATGCGTCGCTTATTTTATTCAACCACAAATCATGGTGGTGAATATGAGCGGTGAATGGAAATCAGATCTTGATTAGTGGTGGCTTGTATCGGCAGTAAACCATGGATGAGAAAAAGTCTTCCGGCTCTTGATGATGTGCTGCTTTCGGCCTAATTAATTCTTCTCAGCATGCACCGATGAATAATCAGGAATTGGTTTGGATGGTGCCCCTGGCAAATGAGGGCGACAACATGAAACGATGGTTCAGGTGTTTAACTGGACAAGTCTTGTTGAACTGGTTTACACAGCCGAGGGTGGGTGGCTGACTCACCTGGCTCCCAGACTGGCCTAAATTGCACCATGACGTGTAATGCAGAGTGTCACTGAGGGTAGCAGCTGATTGCAGGGCACAGGGTGTCACAGACTTGAAAAGCTTGTAAATGCAGGCAGCTGCTCCTATAGGACCCTGCTGGACAAGTGGTCAAAGCCCCGCACCCCCATCCTCGTTATGCTGAGTTCTCCCTCAGTGCGTCCTTTGGATTTGTCGCCTTCAAAGAGAATGCGATCTGAGAGCTTTGCCAGTCGGTTGCCTGTCAACCCAGAGGCTGCTCACCTGCTTGATCTGTGCAGCCTAGACTGTTCTGACCTGGATTTTGTATGAGGAAGAAAGAGTTGACCAAAAAAGA